TAGCCGTGCTCTCATTCTAAGCGTGAAGAAACTGAGTTTGGAGAGGTTGAATTCGTATTCAGAGTTCTGAAGCCAGCAAGTTGCAGAGCTCTAGGATTCTGCCTCTTGGCTTAAAAGCATATCTTTCTGTGTTTAATGGCACCTTTTAACTGACCAAGGACATCATGAGGGGGTTTTGCTGTAATGACCCAACTCCATAGGGATTTCCCTGGTGGTGAATAACTTTGTACACGTGTCCCACTTTGTGGAAACAATGGGAAGTATCATTTCAGCCAGTGCGTTTCTGTGTGTTGGTTACTAGCGGGGCATGCCCTCTGGTTATTGTTCATGGGAACATGCTCAAGGAATTCTTCAGGAAGGCCCCCATCCAGGATGTTACTGGAAGACCTGCCTGGCAGAGTTTGTACAAACAGAGTATGACCCCACCAGTTCAGCCAAAACCCCTGCCTCGTGCTGGGAGGCTTTGTGACCCTAGCGGAAAAGCCTGCTGTCTTCATCACTCAGCCAAGAAGCTGCTACAGGGTGGGTCTCCAGTTCCCCTCTCTGTGCCCAGGAGTGTCTGCACAGACTCCCTCTCCATAGGTATGGCGTGCACATTGCTGCCTACACAAAATATAGGTCTAGTTGGGTTTACTTTGCCTCCTGAGACTCTTACGGTGTTTCATGCTGTTTGTAGGAACAATCTGCTAGGAATCCTCCTCCTAAAAAAAATTGTGCGGTGGGCTGGGGTGGCACATGCCTTTAATCCCAGCACTTGGGAGGCAGAGGTAGGCAGATATCCAAGTTCGAGGCCAGCCAGGTCTACAGAGTGAGTTTCAGGACAGCTAGAGCTACACAGAGAAACCCTGTCTCTGAAAACCAAAACCAAAACCAAAACCAAAAAAAAAAAAAAAAAAAAAAGTGTCATTTTAAGTGTCAGTACTTTTCATCTTGTAAAAGTAGAAGTGAATATATCAAAGAGTTCTGTGAACACACACAGTCCTGGAAACCATTCTCCTTTCTACCTCAATGACTCCGACTGCTCTAGAAACCTTAAAGAGATGGAGTCATACAATGTGTGTCCGTTTGAGTTGGGCTTGTTTCACTTGGGTTTGTCCGCGTCTATATGTATCTGAGTCACATCCCACTGCGTACCTGACTCAGTATGGCACCGGAGGACTTGTGTGGCTTCGCAGCTGTCAGCCCTTCCAGCCTCCTCACTTTGGATAATCTTCACCTCCTGCTTTCTCCCTTCCAGTCATGGTGCTGCTCTTCAGTCTCTGGGACAGGACCAGGCATGCCTTTTCGGTAGTGTCAGCCAGTGCAGGTTCTAGCACGGAGCGTAAGGGCCCCTGCAGTTGCTTGAGAGGCAAATGTGCAGCAGTTCAGAATGGCCACGAAGGCGCCTGGAATACAAACGCAAGTACACTGCCAGAGCCCCATGAATGTGAGCCACAGATGATCAGATGTATTCATCATTGGACTGGAAAGGGATTAGGATATTTCCATAATATAATGTCGTATGTTTCTTTTTCTGAAACAGATGTGCCCTTGTTGCTTCACGAGGAAATAATTAAATTTGTTTGATTAAGACATCCATAAGCACTCTCGTGTACCGAGGCTACTGTATGCTGCTGTCTCTTCTGGCGCTCTGTTTGTTGTATCTGCTTCTCTGAGTTGCTCTCTAAGACGCCTTTTTTCATCTTCTTTGATGTAAGGAAACTGAGACTCAAAGAGGAAGCAGCTTTCTCATGGATGACTATCTTCTGGGTGACAGAGATGGGTCTGTCTGCTTTTGCGCTTATTCACAGTAGAGGCTCAGGCTCTGCCAGCACATCTGCCTTCTTCCTGCTGGCCCTTCCTACTCTGCATCCCCCACCTCCTCTCACCTCATCTCCATTCTTACTTCTTATATATATTTTTTGACAATTGGCTGTGTATTTGAATCCTAAAACAAACTTTTTGACAATGTCAATAAAAGTTAAACACTGCTACACTTAGAAACCAATATTAATGGTGGTGATATAACATTTATGTAAAATAATATATTGTAGTAAGGCCACGCTACATATAATGAGTTAGTTTTTTATAAAGCCTTTTATTTTTGGGCCTTTCTTGAGTCTGAATTTATGCTTTTTAATAAATGTGTGTTTTTTTCTTCTGTTTGAAATATAAACAAAGCAGTGAAAAGTTAGTTAGCTTTCTTTATTAAAGGTTTCTCAACAGTGGGATACCTATTGCAAATTTTGTATGAAATACAAGATTGAAGTACTTCAAGAAGATCTTTTTGAAGAGGTTTAAAACATTTCTTCCATAGCTCCCTTTCTTTCTGCCCCTCCTAGTATTTCATCAGGACTGTGTTTTTTGAATCCGTGGATCAAGTTTTAATTTTCCTGTTCCTTCCTTATACTGACATATGCTTTGGCAAAACAAAAAAGAGACCTAAACATGTCAGCATGATTTTTGTTCAGTGAATTAAAAACCATAAAAGTAACAAGATCAGATCCAAATCCCTAAACTCCTGACATGGTGGTTTTGTCCTTTTCAGCCCCAAGCTTCGTATTACGACTTTGAAAGCTTTCTGCCTGGAAGCAAAAGTTCATGATTTATTTGAAATAGATTACAAGGATACAGGCCAGAAAGATCGAAGTTTGACTCCCAGTCCTGTCACTCAAGCCTGTGGGCTAGTCACTTACCATCCCTGAGACTCAGTTTCTCTTTTGGAAAGAATGGGTCTCTTAATTTGAGAGGAGGAGTTTTCAGGGGGTGGGTGAGGTCACTAACTGAGCCGATTGCTTTGTCTTCAGAGGTTGTCTTTACTTAAAATTCTTTTGTGGTGGGGGAAAACAGAGGCTGTGACATATTTAGCATACCCTCGCTGATACATACAGAGCATGTACCTAGAACTTGGGGCTGTGCTTACTCGGCTCACTCACAGTTGTTGATCTGAGGGTCAAGAAGCATTGCCAGCGATGCCACTTCAGGGTAGAGCATTTTGTTATACTAGGACCAGTCAGTGGCTTTTGAGACAGGCCATTCCAGGTTTGACGTCACACACTGCCCCACGCTTTGGCTGGGCCTGGCGGTGCATGCCTCTAATCAGAGCACTCAGGAGATTGAAGCAGGAGGATGCTAATTTCTAGGTGAGACTGGGTGTGTAGTGGGAGCCCATCTCGAAGAACCCCTAACAGCAATAAAGATATGACACTTGGTGGGTTGGACCTCCTTTTTTTTCACCTATAAAAATGGGATTTGTGCTGGCCAGTATTAGGTTCAGTTGACACAAGCTAGAGTCACTGGAGAGGAAGGAGCCTCAGAAGCCTGTAGAACACTTTCTTAATTAGTGATCGACTGGGGAGGGCCCAGCCCATTGTGGGTGATCCTTGGCTGCTGGTCCTGGGTCCTGTAAGAAAGCAGGCTGAGCAAGCCATGAGGAGCAAGCCAGTAAGCAGCACTCTCCATGGCCTCTGCATCAGCTCCTGCCTCTGGGTTCCTGTCCTGTTTGAGTTCCTACCTTAGATGATGAACTGTGATATGGAAGTATAAGCCAGATAAAACCTTTTCCTCCCCAAGTTGCTTTTGGTCATTAGAAACACTGCCTAGGACAGGGTACATGATCTAAAAAGAACATCCAGGATATGGCTTTCCACCCTGGCTTTTTGTTACTTATCTGCTCTTTGTTGTTCTTATCTGCTCCTTCTGGTTTTCAAATGAAACATGGTTTCTTTGTACCTCAAAGCTTTTGTACATGCTCACTCTTGGAAATCCTTCTAGCCCTTGCCAGCACTAACAATTTAAACTTACTCTTCAGATATAGTGAGATGTATTAGGATAGAGTGGAGTGTACTGCAGGAACAAGCAATCTCCAAATTGCCGTAGTTTATAACTCTTCTCCATGGATGTAACGGTAGATGTGTGGGTGTTAGGTGCTGTGCTTTACAGTCATCCTGGACCTGACTGATGGAGGAGGCTCTACCTCATACTGTGATCCAGAGAAACACATGTGGCCTCTGAAAGCCTCTGCCCTGAGATGATATACAGCATTTTACCCACATTTCCTTAGATCATGCAAGTTTGTAGCCTAACCTCAGGGTGAGGAGCATGTGTTCCTGCTTGTGCCTGTGAGCAAGAGACCCAGAGCAGCCGTGAGTGGACCTAGTGACCTGCCACATTTAAATTCATTTCCCTGTGACAGGCCTGTTGAGCTGAGCTGAGTTTGTCTGTGACCCCTTCCCTTTCCCCAACTTCTTGCCTCTCTTCAGCAAATTTCCTTAGGAGGAAATTCTAACCCATTACCTCAGCTCCTAGCACTTGGTGTTTACAAGATGGAGAAAGGAAGGCAAGGCATTTATGCTGAGTTGCTTTGCTGGATTGTTAACGATTATTAAATATGAAACAGTAACTGTTGTCAGTGTTAAAATGCCTTTCTTTGTAGTTTACACTTGTCATTATGATGAGGATGCTGATAATAAAAACTACCATTTATCTGGGTATGGTACACCTTTAATCCCAGCACTTGGGAGAGGCAGAGGCAGGCAGACCTCAGTTCAAAACCAGCCTGGGCTACAAAGTGAGTTCTAGGATGGCCAGGGCTATTACATAGAGAAACCCTATCTCAAAAAACCAAAATAAAATAAAATGGGTCAGGGTCAATGCTAAATGAGTCACATTCTCATCTTATTTAGTTTCCTCTCACCCGTTGGATTCCCATTAGACAGCTGGGGATTTTGAGGAGAGGTCATGTCTGCATCTTCTAAGTAGCATGGTTGAGTTTTGACTCCATGTCCACATAGCCTCTCTGGTTCCTTAATGTCTCTTGCTTGCTTTTACCAGATAACTCACCAGACTAAGCATGTCCATTGGCATCTGTCAGGAGGGTGAAGGTCACTTTTGGCTGATGGGTCAGAGCCATAGACTGTTGAACTAACAGAGTAATGTGAAATTCTTGGCTGGAGGTCAGCATCTTACTAGAAAGAATAGTTTTGTTGAACTTTTGTGTGTATGTGTGTGTCTTTTTTCAGAGTAACCAGAGAACACAGAGAAATGCTGGTAAAACTGGCCAAGCAGAACACCAACAAGGCCAAAGAAAATTTACGGAAGGTTCGCACTAATGCAATTAATAAACTGAAGAAGTCAAAGGACAGAACCTCGGAGGACACCATTAGACTCATAGAGAAGCAGGTACCGTTGCCAACAGATGTAGCATTTATCTGTCTCACCCAAGGAATCTGTGTGCTCATGTTTGAAGCAAGGACTGAGAAACAGAATGCTCTGGTCATTGAATTCACGTGATCAACAGCGACTCTCTAAGTCTGGACCCTGGAGGGGATAAGGTGCTGCTGATCTTTGTGCGCTTGGCTCTGTGCTGAACACTTCATTTACCCTCGCCACTACAAAACCGAGCCAGAGGCTGCAGGTATGGCTGAGTGCCTGGCAGTCACAAGGCTCCGGTTCAGTCCCCACTGCTGAAGCAGCAGCACAACAGAACTGTGGGAGGGCAGTGAGGAGGCCCGGGCCAGAGAAGTTTGGGAACCTATGTGTGCTCTCTTGCTCATAGTAGTAGAAATGGGATCTAAAGCTAGGCAAACTGATCCTAGAGCTACTTGCTTTGCTCTCTAGCTTCCTGACTGCCTGAGGAGACAGCAGCTATGTTCTCTGTGTGCTGAGCCCTGGTGCTTCTGGAGGGAGGTAGTGAAAGGTCTGGGCCAGGTAGCCCAACATGTGCAGAGGTGTGGTGATATAAAAGAACATTTCCATTTGGGCCCAAAGGTCTCATTCCTAGGATGAGTCTAGGCAATGAGTGAGAAAACAGAGTAGCCACCTCATGAAAACTCTTAAGTACCCAGGTAAGGAATTTGGATGTGAACATGTCCAGAGCATTTCCACATCAGGCTGTGCAGCTGTGTCAGTTACCAGTAGCCACAGTAACGGTGCTTAAGTAGCTACCCAAAACTGGATGGTTTAGAATATCCACATCATTTCTTCTCGTTTCTGTGGGCCAGCTGGGGTGTAGCTGTTCTAGGTTGGGCGTTGAACTCAGCTTCAGATCACAGACTGAGCTCAGGTTTGCTTTATATATCTCTCAATTTTCCAGAGTAAATGAGTGCCCAGAATTTTCTTTCTTAGCAACAGCAGGTGCCAAGACAGTGAATCCAACCACCTAAGCTCATTTCAAGGACCTACTCTTGGCCCTTCTCATTTGCTAAGCTTGTTATTCAGGCCAAGCCAGATAGCATTATTGCCAAGAAGTATATACTTATTTCATAAAGGTCTGAAGGGCGTGTGTAAATAGTTGATGAATAATACTTTACCCTTAGGGAAAATAAAGGTACCTGGGATTTAGGGAGGTGATTCTGTCAGTAACATGTTTACAAGGACAAGCACTTGAGTTAGATCCCTCAGGGCCACATGAAAAGCTGGTCATGGATGCGCTTACCTGTAATCCCACGAGAGGGTTTAGGTACCAAGACAGGAACCCTAGGGCTCACTGGCCAGATAGTCTAGCTAAAGGTGAGTTCCAGGTCCAGTGAGAAGCCTGACCCCAAACCCAAGGTCTGGAGAGTGACTGATAGAAAGCTGTGGTTTTTCATACTTGTGCACACATGTGTGTACTTGTACACCCCCTGTATCTAAGTCGGCGAGTCTGGAATGGTGCCTGGAATCTTTAACTGTGCCCAGGCGGTTCCCATACAGTAACTGTCTTGGAAGATCTCACTTTTCAGACAAAAAGATCACATGTGTGCTTGCAAAAAGTAACTGTATGTCCAGGTAGAGAACACTGTAGGGCAAGGTTTGAGGCAGGAAGGGGGATTTATCAGGATTTAGAAGATGAAATGAGCAATGTTTAGTGTCTTACGAAGTGTTTGATAGGCCCAAAGCTGCTGTGTGCACAGTGAAAGCATGGTGTTAGGAAGGTTGGGGAAATGGAGTAGGATGAATGAAGCAGCAGGCAGAGCAGGATTGCTGCTGCAGGCCTGGAGGAGGCATGGAAGGAATCACTGTCCTCAGGTTGGATCAGTCGTTAGCACTCTGGTTGTAGGTCAGCCGGCAGTCACCTGGGGGAGTTTTGTCTCCTGGGTGTCGCTCCTACATTTTCTGATTCAGTGTATTTCCTAGAAAGGGTGTTTTAAAAAGATTTTTAATATTGTGTAGACACGTGGGTTTGTGTGGGGGATATGCAGTGAGTGCAGGTGCCTGCAAAGTCCAGAAGAGAGCATCAGATCCCCTGGAGGTGGAGTTCCAGGGGGCTAAAGCACCTGGTGTGGGTGCTGGGAACTGAACTTGGATCCTCTGGAAGAGCAGTGAGTGCTCTGAACTGCTAAGCCACCTCTCCAGCTTTGAAGCGTGTGGTCTAAACGGCTCCCTGATGGTTCTGCAGAAGCACCCTGTGAAAGAAGGACCAGAGGGCGTGTGCCTGCAGCTGCTGTCCTGTTACCTTGGAGAGGTTACCTGACCCTTGGGTCTGTTTTTCCAGTAAAAGAATTTGGTAATTTCTGCCCTGAACGGGCTCCTTAGGATGCCTAGCATTTAAATCCTCAAATCCCCTCCTGCTGTCTTTCTACCCTCCTGTGTTTGCTCAGAGGGACATTCATAGGTTAGCCTGCTCCTCCTTGGTATCCTAGGGGATTCCATCTCTGCAGTGGACATGCAGCCGGCCTCCCAGGCTGCCTGACTCCTCATTCAGCAAGTTGGAGTCTGCCCTAGAGAGCAGAGTCCATGCTCCTTGAAGAAGGAAGAATGATCAGATAATCAGTGCTCTTGTTAAAACACACTTGACGGAGACCTAGCCAGAGCCTTCCCTCGCTACCGCTGGCTTCTACCCTTTCCCTCCAGCGCTTCCCACTGTTTATTCTTTCCAAGCCAAAATGCTTTGTTCTTCTGATTCTGAGCTGGCGCCTGGTCACTGTGAGACAGAATGAAGACAGACACTGGCACCTCGGTTGCGTGAGGTGGCCATCACCAGTACCTCAGGGGCTCCTCCAGGCTATGAAGTCCCACCTTGCACACCGTATCAGTCTCTCCAGTGTAAAAGTCTGTGGTGGAGAGGTTATTTCCATGTTAATTCTTATCCCGTTAGTAGCCTCACTTAAAGTCCTGTGGTTGAAGTTTGGAAAACAGTCGGAGGCAGCCCTGTGCGCTCCGCACCATGTTCTTTTTTCTATGTGGACAGCGCCAAAGGAGTTGTTGCCTTTGGTTTTGTTTTGATTCCTTTTTGTTTGTTTGTTCTGCTTGTTTTTTGCTTTGCTTTATATAATTAAAGCTGCTGGCTGGTGGATCCTTCATCAACAGTTTAAATTTTTTATTTGTTACTTTTGTTCCTAGCTACCAAAGTAATATCTGCTCAATATAAAGAATGTAAAAGTGAAGACTGTTTTAACAGTCTGGAAGAGGGTCATCCCATAAATGCGCAACATGGAGACATCACTCAGCATTTCAAGTAGTCTTTCTCTTTCTTCGACGTGAAGTTTTAAACAACATTGAGTATGTACCGTATATAGAAACATGGAGACATCACTCAGCATTTCAAATAGTCTTTCTCTTTTCTTCAACACAAAGTTTTAAACAATATTGAGTATGTACAGTGTATAGAAACTTTGAGTCCAGGTATAATTTTTCATTTGTTATTAAAGGGACTAGGTATTTATGTGTTTGAAAAAATTTTACAAATGGCCACTTCTCATGGCTGCTTAAATAGTTCATCTTGCAAAACTGTCTTTTAGAAGCTCTGCTTTTAGATATTTCTATTTAAATTTTTTTGTTTGAATTATTTAAAAGTTACACTAATAAGGTTACAGTAAATATCTTCCTTATTAACCTTTGTGTTCTCTCAGAGTGGAACATACCAAGTCTAGCCTGCTGCCTAGAGAAATGCATTGCTTTGCTTATGCCTTTTCTCCCAGCATTGGGATTGAACCGAGAGCCCTGCGTGTGCTTTGTAAGCACTCTACCACTGTGCCTCCAGCCAGAAATGCATTCTTACTAAGGTCTTTACTATATCTTTCCAAAGTCACTTAGAGTCTTTCGTGTAAGTGCCTCAAACACATGTGCATGGTTTCCTTTTTGTATCCAAGGTGGGACTCGTGTTCCTCTCGCCCGTCTTCTGAGGACTGGGGTTATAGTTGTGCACCTCACGCCCAGCTTAGTTGACCTTTTACTGGGTCCTAACATTTAAGCTGAGTTTCTGTTTTTATGTGGCAGTAGCTTGCTATGAAACCCTAGCTGGCCTGCTGCTTGTTATGTAGCACAGGCTGGCCTCAGATCCATCCCAGTCTGAAGTCTCCTGAGTACAGGGATTGCAGGTATGTGCCACCATACCTGATTAAAATAAAACAGTTTTAATGTGAGCTTACCACTTGTTTGTCTTCAAATCATCATCTTTACTTTTACACTACAGAGAAATGGATTTTTATTTTTATTTTTTTAAAGATAAAGTAATTTTATTTTTTCTTTTTCTTTCTTTTTTTATATAATTTTTATTTTTTTGTATTAATCACAGGTTATTAACTTTGTATCCCAGCCATAGCCCCCTCCCTCATTCCCTCCCAATCCCACCCTCCCTCTCCTCATCTCTTTCCTACCCCTTTCCAAGTCCACTGATAGGTGCTCCTCCCCTTCCATCTGACCCTAGCTTATCAGGTATCTTCAGGACTGGCTGCAGTGTCCTCCTCTGTGGCCTAGCAAGGCTGCTCCTCCCTCGGGGGGGGGGGGGG